TTCATTTCATTCTTTAAAACCCTTACCGGAATGTACGACTCTCATCTCTGTTTTTCTGGCTGTGCTATTTAATTTATTGAAAAGTGATTGTTTGAAACCCTAATTGATTGCTGGTTCATTGGAATATTAAGGGGAAAGGAAGAAAAATATTGAGTTTTGCTTGTCTTCTAACTTTTTGTTTGGACGAGGAGAGAAGGGATTGTGTGTGATAATGGAACAAAATTATACTCAACTGAGCATAGTAAGTATTTGAAACATGTTTAAAGGAGCTTTGCTGAATATCTGAATTTGAAACGAAAAAATGTTATGCTTATATTTTGAGTGAGGACAGAAAGAACTAGAAGTTTGATAATAAGAACTTTGTCTTTTTGTGGCCACTGGTTGGTTGATGATTTAGACCCCAAAAAAAAAAATATATATATTTTGAAGGCCAATGGGAATGGATTAATATTTTGACTTTCACTTGTTATTTAGAAACTTTTTTTATCTGATTTTTCCTTTTTGCTTCTCTGTGTTGCAGGACCCTAGGGCTGTTCGCTTCTTTGATCGGCGGGTAAGTTCTTTCTTTTTCCGTAGTTTGTTAATTGCTTCATATCTTAAGTCTCTAACGATATATTTGTCTTCTGAATTGAGAAAGGATTATTTATTGATGTGGTGAAATAATCTTCTTGAATTGGTTCTTAAAAAAAACACATTTTTAATATAACTTTTTAAAACTGACTGCTACTTTTGTTCTGATGGGTGCTTATTCATGTGGATAAATGTGAACTGCTTTTTTTGAAGTTGCGCTGCAATGGATGGGTTATCTGCTAATCTTCATATGTGAACAAACTTGTCATTTGTGCACCAACTGCAATTTCCTTGAATATTTTACCCTCTTGTTATAATGAGTATCAATCTGAGATTTATGGTACTAGTAATTCAGCATTCATTTTTTTGAAAAACTTCTCGCTTAAACTATGCAGGATTATTATACTGCTCACGGTGAAAATGCCACTTTTATTGCAAAAACATACTATCATACAACCACTGCTTTGAGGCAACTTGGTGGCAGATCTGATGGCCTCTCCAGCGTAAGTGTTAGTAGAAACATGTTTGAAACTATTGCCCGTGATCTTCTTCTAGAGAGAATGGACCATACTCTTGAACTCTATGAAGGTAGTGGCTCCAATTGGAGATTAGTGAAAAGTGGAACTCCTGGAAATCTTAGCGGTTTTGAAGATGTCTTATTTGCCAACAATGAGATGGAGGATACACCTGTGGTTGTGGCCTTACTTCCAAACTTCCGTGACAATGGCTGCACAGTTGGCTTGGGGTATCTTGATTTAACTAAGAAAATACTTGGATTAACTGAATTTCTTGATGATAGCCACTTTACAAATGTTGAATCAGCTTTGGTCGCTCTTGGTTGTAAGGAATGTCTTTTGCCTACTGAGAGTGGAAAATCAAATGAATTTAGAACTCTGAATGATGCTTTCTCCAGATGTGGTGTGATGGTAACAGAAAGAAAAAAAAGTGAGTTTAAAGCGAGAGATTTGGTGCAGGATCTGGGTCGGCTTGTTAAGGGCTCAATTGAGCCAGTTAAAGATTTAGTTTCTGGATTTGAAATTGCACCTGCTGCTTTAGGTGCACTACTAAACTATGCAGAATTACTCTCAAATGAGAGCAATTATGGAAATTATACCATCCGAAGGTACAGTCTTAACAGCTATATGAGATTAGATTCGGCTGCTATGAGGGCGCTTAATATCATGGAAAGCAAAACTGACGCAAATAAAAATTTTAGTTTGTTTGGTCTCATGAATAGAACCTGCACTGCTGGTATGGGGAAACGATTACTTCATATGTGGCTAAAACAGCCTTTATTAGATTGTACTGAAATCAACTGCAGGCTAGATATGGTGCAAGCATTTGTTGAAGATACTGCTCTTCGCCAAAATCTGAGGCAGCATCTCAAAAGAATCTCTGATATAGAAAGACTGATCCACAATCTTCAGAAGAAAAGAGCTGGTTTGCAGCATATTGTAAAACTTTATCAGGTCATCCCTTTAACTTTATCTTTACTAATTAATCCTTGCATCAACAGACTTATGTTTGCTAGAGAATCAGCAAAAAGAATCAATTGTTTCGTGTCTACCAAACTGATTGATCTACTACTCATTTACCAATTTTGTTTCCTTTCTTTCTTTAGTTGGAAACTTGATAGAGGCATTATTATAGGGGAATGTCCTTTTATAATGTAATTATAATGTTATCTGATATTTCAGAGATGTAACTTTTAGTGTTATAACATTCTTTGGTAACAGTTTTTCTGATAAAAGAAAAAATCTTCTGCCCTGACCTTCTTTTTAAATGCCTTACCTCTATTCTTTTCTGAAGTCACTGGAACTAAGGTCAGGCTACTTGCATACTTTTCCATTAGCATGTATCACAAGCTTATCTAGTAAACTGCAGATTATTTGTCTTTTCAGACATTATTTTTTTATTACTAAATTTTTCATTGTTTCAAATTTGATATTCATCTTTATGCAGTCAAGTATAAGGCTTCCCTACATTCGGAGTGCTATAGAACAGTATGATGGAGAATTTTCAGCATTGATCAAGGAGAGATATTTGGACCCCCTTGAGTTGTTGACTGATGATGATCACTTGAATAAGTTCATTGCTCTTGTAGAAACATCTGTTGATCTTGATCAACTTGATAATGGGGAGTATATGATTTCATCTAGTTATGACTCTGCACTATCTGCACTGAAAGAGGAGCAAGAGTCACTCGAGCAGCAAATACACAATTTGCATAAGCAAACTGCTCTTGAGCTTGATCTACCGTTGGATAAGGCACTAAAGTTGGATAAGGGCACACAGTTTGGGCATGTATTTAGAATTACAAAGAAGGAAGAGCCAAAAATAAGAAAAAAGCTCACAACCCAATTTATTGTCCTCGAAACACGGAAAGATGGTGTAAAATTTACAAATACGAAACTTAAAAAATTAGGTGATCGGTACCAAAAGATTCTTGATGATTACAAGAATTGTCAAAAAGAGCTGGTTAACCAGGTGGTCCAAACTGCAGGAACTTTTTCTGAGGTATAAATGCTTTGTAATATCTTGTTTCTCTATGTCTCTTGTTCTTCTCAAAAGAAACAAAATACTGCAGGTTTTCGAATCATTGGCTGGATTGCTCTCCGAATTGGATGTCTTGCTTAGTTTTGCTGAGTTGGCATCCAGTTGTCCTACTCCATACACTAGACCCAACATCACCTCATCAGTAACTACTTTCTTTTTTTTTTTTTACTACATTTTGTTTCTTGTCTTCATGCTTTTCGCTTTGTTTTTTAAATATCTTCATCCTATGGTAACAGTTTCTTCTTTTTTTTTTTCTTTGTAGGATGTG